AAGCAGAGCTCCTCAGAGCCATGACAAGGCTGTTGTGGTGTGGTCCTCTGCCTTTCTCGGCTACCTACTCACCCCTCTTTCAGGCTTGTTTATCTGTTATCTTCATCCCCCAACTCTCTGTGCCCCTTCCAACTGTGGCTTTTACCTTGCCTGTTCCATCTGGCTGAAATGCTTGTTTTTTAGCATCTTTATTAAAGCCTGTTCTTATCGCTCTGTGTCAAAATAAATGTAGTATCCACTGCTCAGTATGTTCATCCGTTTGGATACCAGGGAGGGGCTGCTACTTGCTGGCCCCCTGTGTTTAGGGAAAGTGAAGTAACTTAGTTTATCCAGTGAAATGTGACTGGAAGTTGCATGTGTGATTTCTGGGTGGAATCCTGTACCCAGGATGAGTTCTTCCCCATTGGGACCCTAGACAAATGTGCTAAACAATGGACCAATAAAAAATTCTACCAGAAGCCAGGTGTGGTGGCACATGTCTGTAATCCCAGCATTCAGGAGGCTGAGGCAGGAGGATCCTTGTGAGTTCAAGACTAGCCTGGGCTATGAAGTGAGTGCAAGGTGAGCTTGGACTGTATAGTGGGACCCTGTCTCAAAAAGACAAACAAACAAACACATAAAAAATTCCATTAGAATGAGACAATGTGTTTATAGAATGTATATTTGAAATGTTGAGTGTGTCTGCTGTTTTAGTATCAGCTGATGGATCTTGACTGATGAACCTGTCTCATTACTGGTCTTAATGTAGACATCCAACCCTATTTTCCTTTTGCTACAAATTATTTGTTACTTACTTTTCCATTGTACCTACTTAAAATTATGCATTTTGTATATATATATATATATATATATATATATATGTCACCAATCTCCCTGCATGAAAATATAAACTTGATTTTTCTCCATAAATTTTCAAAATAATTTTATTTATTCATTTTCATTAGTACATGTGTGCAGTACATACAGTTTATATTCTTTGGGTGGAATTGGAACATGACTGTAACACATGTTAATTCCTCATCTCATCCCTTTCCCTCCCCTTCTTCCCCCCATGTCTTGACCCCTTCCCACTTGAGACAGACCTACTTTCTAATATCTGTCTTTTATTTTGTTCTTTATAATTTATAATTTGGGTTTCTCATATAAGAGAAATTGTGTAATGTTTATCCTTCTGTGTCTGATTATACATGTGATGAGAAGTATTTTATCTGTCTTGTTCCATATCACAGAGTGTCTGGCCCAAAGTAGGCATCTAAGAATCACTGGGCAAATGCGGAGCACAAAGTACTTCTGCTGCACAGGATGTTGTGGCCAAACAGAGAAAGCAAACACAAGGGAAGCCTGAGAATGCTGGAATCAGTGGGCCCCAACTTACGACAACTAGGATAATGAAAATAAGTCATTTAGGCAGTGCTTGTCAATCTCAGTTTTCTAGGTTCTTAGACTCTATGACTTACCCTAAAATCATTTTAAAATCAATCATATTTACCGATAAAAAGTCATAAATTTTGTGCTGAGTTTGCAATACAGATTTTTCATGTTGTCATGGACATCAGCACTTCTGTCATTTGTTTAAAAGTGGGTTTTACTGATCCAAAATGTACAAAAGATATTGTGAAGTGGGAAGAAACTGCAAAAAAGACAGAGAAACTGGGATGAGAGAAAGGGGGAAAGAAGGGAAAGAGAAAAAAAAAAATATATATATATATACAAAAAACAGTTAAAATAGTTATATTACTAATTGCTGTTAGTTCATTGTAAAGAAAGATTTGGCCTATATTCTTTGATCAACTTTTCATGCATAAATCTTGTAATATGAGCAACTACTTTGAAGATGACAATATGCAATGTACTAACCATTGATGCTCCCTGAAATCTCACTTTGATATTTTGTACCATTATTTTTATTGCTTTTCTTTCTCTAAAATGAGAAAACAGTGAGTTTTATTAAAATTTTCATCTGTAGTATAGCAGAAAAACTGTAATGGTGCCAACCGCCTCATGACTTTTCTTTAGGAGCTGAGAATGAAGCTGAGTCTCATTTGTTTTATTCATTGTGGCACTGTTTGCATCCAACATATTCCTTGAGAAATGAATTTTTGGAAACCAAAACAGCAGAGTGCCTGAGTATTTCGGCTGAATAAATTATTGATTATAAAAATTTCAAATCGTCTGAATTATCTGTAGATATGGGAGAAAATTTACTTTCATGAAGTATTAAATTTATTATGCAAGATGAAACAGATTTCAGAGAAATGAAAAGTATTTTGAAATAAAGCATTTTATTCAAATAGTATTGAATTGCTACTCTTCCTGAAAAGTCTAATGGTACTTTGAAGCTTATGGAGTCTAAGAACATTAATGTAGCTCAAATCACTCTGAGAAGGCTTTTGTTTATTTCTTAACAGTAAGTTTTGGTTTAAGAGTTTAAGGATGAGATGGTAGAAGGCAGACCATGATCAAAGGATGACATACACATGGATAGAAATGTCCCAGTCATAGTGAAGCCCATTAATTTGTATAATTAACATTCATTAATTATTATAATACAAATAAGGATACCATGAAGACAAATACACCTGGTAATATAAACTAAAATAAGGAAAAAGAACAGATGCTGTTCCTCTGAGATGGGCATGCAAGGTTGTTAGCTTGGGACTTCCCTAACTTTACAAGCTGAATTCCTATAGTAGATAATCATTCTCCTTTTGAGAGCTTGCCACCTAAAGCACTACTATTACCACCTGTATTAGGAAACTGTGAAATGACTTGAGCCTTTTGGAATTGACAAAATTAAGTAATTTCCCTGGGAAACCTCAACATTATCCAGATTATTCTCCTAACGGGAAATCTTAGCATGGAACCTATGGTCAAGAGATAAGTTGCTTTCCATATCAACAAGGTATCCCTTAGGAAATTCCTTTATTTCAAAACAAACTTAAGACATCTTTGATGTGAGTTTTCTTAAGTCATGATGGATTGTGCAATGTGATGCTGCTGTTAATACTCTGTTGATAGCCAGACCTGGTTGTCTTTGTCCCCATATCAGAGAGGAAGTGTGGAAACCATCTCCACTTTATTTGTCTGATCTGAACAAGTGGAGCTTCCAGTCTTTTTTCCCACCAGATGTGCAAAACACTACTGAATGGGTGAAATTTCCCTCAGGCACTGTGAGATATACAGGGGCCAGGGAACTCCACATACACACTTGAGCAGGAATGGACTCAGGGTTTGGCTCATGTCAGAAGTCAAATTGTTATTGTTCTTTCTTTTATGGGATTCCTTATGTGAAGGGGTTGGGTTTTTTTATAAGATGATCTTTCCAGCAAGTATTAGTGAAAGCAAAATCCTACCCAAGGGAACTTAGGCTATGAGAACTTCACAAGAGTATGCACTGATGCCTGTGGGTAATTATAGAGGCTGGCAGAGTGTCGGCAGATCATTTCATGAGAATGTTGCCTTGTTTTTGAAGGCAAGAATGGATGTGCATTCTGGTAACCTGGCAACCACAGAGATAAAGTAACGGGATAGACTGGTTATGACAGCAGAATATGCTGGAATTTTAGACACATTTACAAGTTTTACCAGGTCTTCGGAGGTGCCCCAAAGTTACAGCCAAAAGAGTGAGCCTAGGTGGACATTCTTGTACCCCAGGGCCAGTACTCAGTGCTAACCTTATTAGTCCAATACCCAAAAATCAATATGAGTCATACTACAGGCTGTGAGTGTTAGATGCTCTTATGTCATATCGAGCTCCATGGGACTGCAGCACTCTAAAACACTGTGGATATATTTCTCAAAGCTTGAGTATTTTCTCTGATAGTCAAGGACATCTTTGTCAATGATTACAGCAGGTCAGAAGTGCCAGGCAATGAATGCTCCCATAAAGAGCTCTTAACCAATGACTTACTGAAGTTAGTATGTAAATGCCCACCTCCTATGCTCATTGGCTAGGTTAACTGAGGCATATTCTCCACACTGATTTTTATCGTTTCTTAGAAAAAATAAGTTCTAATTACTCACTCTCCACCAGTAACAATGGGGTAAACTATATATATGTATGTAATTGTCTTTTCTTCTGTATCTTACTTCTTCACATCTGGGTTAGTATTTCTTAGAATAATTTTTCAAATAAAACACACTCACATTCTTATTCCACAGTCAACTTTTAAGGAAACCTAAAAGACCAAAGAGTAAGGGGAGATGACCAAGCTTACAATGAAAAGGAGAGATCCAGATAACTGAGCTTACCATGACAAAGAGAGATCCAGATAGACAGACAAAGATAAAAGTTTAACATTGCAGTTTTGTGGAATTATAAATGCCTTCTTTTCCTGTGATAGCAGGACTTTGTACTAGTTTGTTGTCATCACAAAATCTTTAATCAAGCAAAGGTCAAGAATCAACTAAGCTGAAAGGTTGTAATAGCTGTTTGTAAGAAAATTCTAGTATGGATGGGAAAAATGCACAAAACACCAATAAAGAGTAAAGAAAGTTTAACAGAGAAGAACCAAGGACCTGAAGAAACTTGTATAGAAGGTGAGAAAATTAAGCAGCAGATAGGAAGAAAACTGGCATGCTTATCAGCTTGGGACAATTAAGGCCTGAGTGGAGAAGGTGGCTCAAAAGTGTTGTTCTCAGGACGCACATTGGAAATAGACATAAAGAAGCACAAGCCCTCAGACCACGTGGCAAATTCTATGCAATGCCTTCCTACTCCGTTTTTCTGATTCTGCAACGAGCAGGGTTGTACAGCCTTCTGAGTTCTTGTTTCTTTTCTTCCTTCCTTCTTTTTTACGCTCACACATTCAGCCTAAGGTGAGGGGAAATGTAGAAGCTGGAGACAGGACCGGCTGGGAAAAATGGACCCTCAGCAAGCCCTTGTGGCGTGGTAGCAATTCTGAGTGCTAAGTGGAAGATATCAACTCACTGAAGGTCGGGAATGATTGCGCAGTAATGATTACAGATGCTAGATTGTGCCTTTTCCATATGCATTGCAGGGAGAGATTTAGGACAAGCCTGGATGTCTACATGGAGCTAAACAATACTTGAATCAAACAAAACGAAAAGAAAGGACATCTGGGAACAAGAAAGGGAAAATGACAAAGACATGGAAATAGCAGAAAAAATGAAAGGTAAACTTTTCTCTTAAATCTTTCCCCAAACTATATGACTGTGACAGATTTTCTCCTTGTGGATGGTTCTCCTAGTGCTTTGGCCAGTCCTTCACCCTCCCACTCTCATACCCATAGAGGATAGAAAAACTGAGAGAATACACAAAGGAACTTTTTAAAATTTAACATTGACCATGTTGTAAATATTGATGTTTGATATGGCTTCTCGTTTACAATTTCTCTAGCCTTCCGTAATTTCTTATGATAGCATATTAAAACCTTCCCTATGGTTATATAGGTCATGGAACAGTGACATCATGTTTAATAGTCTTGTTTTATAGATTTGTTGTTGCAACAAACATTTCTGAGCTCCTTCATGAGACAGGAAAGAGTATGATCAGTAGGTACATAGATAGTAGATAAGCCCCCAACCACCACATAGGTTTCAGTTATTTGGAGGAATCTGGCAATAAATGCGGAAGCAAAATCACAGATATGCATTTAAAATAGGCACAAATATGAAGTTAATGAGCAGTGAGTTGGATAATAAATAGGGAAAGACACAGTGATGCAAAGCTGGGACTTGAAGAATGAGGGGGTTTAGTTGTACAAATTGATGGGGCTAAGTGTTCAGGGAAGAGGAATGTGGGCATGTAAAGGCTCTAAAATAGGTCAGGTAAGGGACTGAGTGTGCAGAGAGTAGCTAGGATAAGGGACAAAGAGTGAGCAGGGCCTTAGAATGACATTCAGTTAACAAATCCCTCTAAATCCCCATGGTATTTTTAGTTAATAACAATTACAGGCAATGCTAGAGTAAATATTATTATGCATGTATTACATACATATTGTCTACTTAACTGATTTCTTTAGAATGAATTAGCTGAAGTTAAATTAATGGGCCAGAGTTTGTACTTTTTAAGGTTTTGATACACACGATTCTCTAGAACTTTTATGGAAAATTAACTTCAACTTGTCTGCCTCCTTTCCTTGGTTCTTCTTTCTCACTTTTGGTACACTTCTATTTCATTGTGTTCATCTTCACTGAATCTTCTTTATTAGAAGAAATTTTAATGCATTAAATTTAATAATAAATGTAACTGGAGGAAATGACCTTTGGTTTACTGACATGACAATATCGGTGGCTCTTAATTTTTCTTTAACATACCAGTCCCAAAAATAACGTATATGGAACTTATCTACCAATGTCCTTTGTCCTGCTTTTCTTATGTTTGTCCTCATTTTTGTACCTGCTGGTTTATTTTTTGTTGACAAAGCAGTGAGTGTTTTTTTGAGTACAGTATCTGGGAGACTTTGGTGACTTCAAGTTCTCAAGGCCACACCCAGGGCTTAGGTCCTTCTCTCTCAACAATTTCCAGAGGCCAGGCCTTCTGTAGGCCACAAACACTGTTCCTGAAGAATCAATGGACAATTCTGCCTGTGTACAGACAGGCAAATGCATCCTACAGACTCCACAAAATCATCTGCTAAAACTGAAGTACTTTGAGGAAAGGAGAGTGAGCAATAGATTTTGGAATCACAAGTGACCTGTGGCCACGTTTGCAAAATTATCTGCTATCTCCCTAAGCTTTTCCTTAAACAAATAACTGCATCACCACAATGAATGAGATAAACATTTTCAGCTGGAAATGTTTGCAGGTGAAACAAACAATAGTTGGAAGGGAGCAAACAAAGACTATTTGCAGAAATGTTCAGGAAGTGGTTTTGTTATTGTTTGCAAATTAGGTATCTGACCCTCATTACTGATTCTTGTGAGCAAATAATGCAGTAGCAGAAAGCTTTAAAGGAAATCAAAGATAAAAAATGAGGGATATATTGTTCCCTGGGCACTGCGACATGATATGGAGTGCTCCAAAATCAATTAATTCTGAGTGATTTAAAAAATAAATGTAGAAATGATATTAGTGTGAAGACTTATCACTTCTTATGATTATAGGATGGAATTTATAAACAGTATTTTCATTTGTCAAAAAATAGACTGCATTGTTAATACAGGAATGAAAAATCTTATCCTCTGTTCTTCCTTAAAAGTTAGGGAAGCATGGTCCCATGCCAAATTCTTGATTAGAAATTGGAATCCTTTCTTCAAGGCGCTTTATTGACATCTGCCAGAAAACCATCAAAGTGAAAATAAAAGTCGATGATCATTCATGGAAGGCTCCCCCTATGGTTGCGCAAAGCATCATTTGAGGGATCACACACTCTAGTCCCCTAGGACACATGATCAAGCTTAATTAAACCATTCAGTAGAGGCAGACATTCAAGAAATAGTGACCTTGAAGTTGTAGCGACAGAATGAAGTTTGAACTGGGTGTACTGGACTTCCTGAGATCCAGGTTGTAGATAATATAAAGTTATTTGGTGTTGTGTTGATGGCTGGAAATGACTTACTCTCACTTTTTCTGTATTCAGATACTGACTTCTATGAAAGTTTCCCTGAGAATGAGAAAAAGAGTGCTGAGGGTCGGGCTGGGAGTCGTGTTTGTCACTTCCCCGGCAGAAGCCTGGGGTTAAGCTGGCCCACATCTGTGCTAGTAATATATAAGCGGCAGTTGTTGGCAGCAAGATGGGAAGTCTCCAGGAAGACAGCCTCTGCTAACCATTTCTTTTTTCCCTTTATTAAAAGCTGAGCTGGAGGTAACTGTGGAGATCTGAAAATGGAGTCTGCATTAATTAGGTAGAATTTTAAGGAAGCCAAGTAACAAATGACAATTTAATTAAATATAATTAAAACACTTTCGACCTTTTTGAGGCCGCTTTCAACAGGGCAATGATTGCAGCATGAGAGAAGGCCGTGGAAAGGGAGGTAAGGTGCTTTCATTTTTCTTTTTTCTTACTTTTGGGTCTCAGCTCTTTTTTTTTTCTTTCTGCTATTAGAAATGCAGCTGGATCCTATTTTTAATCCATTTTCACATTTGTTTGAATTAAAATCCCAGATTGTTGTGCTTTCAAGGTTGAATGTGCGTGGCAGCCAACGTTTATCCAGCTTTCAGGAGTTACTGGGTAACTGGGTTCCTGGAAGGGAGATTCTGCCACCCGCTGGAGCCACAGGCAAGAGAGAGAGAAAACAGACCCAAGCCCAAAACCTCTGACATCACTGTTGTTTGGGGAGGGATTGTTTGACTGTGAACATGTGCTGGCTACTTAAGACTCTAATTATTCTGAATTACTTAAATTGGCTCTAATGCTTATGTTTTATTATTTGATATTAAGGAACAAACCATTTTAAGAAGAAATTCATAATGCAATCAAAATATTGGCAACCAGTTCTCTCTGTAGAGAGAACTGGGCTTAGAAATACCTATCCACTCTATCCTACCACCTGAATTCTAATCTGAGAGCTGCCATGTACTCTCCCCAACCTTTTCCAGTATCCTGTTTATGTCTAAATCCAATAGTGAAGCCACGCCAGCTTGTTACCACATGGAAAACTCCACTGCTTGGAGAAAGTTATGAATCCTTATATTCTTTATGCTTTAAGATCCACTATGACATCTCAAAGCAATTGCTAGGTAAACCCACCAGATGGTTTTTGGGGGACATGGAATAGACTAATAATTTCCATTAGCTGAAGATTGTTATTATAAAAATTTAATGACCTCACTGATGTGATGTCCTATTCTGGTGGAAAGTTAGTGAACCAGAAATAAAATAATACTTATGAGTACCTATGAGGACATTTGAGAGAAGTACTAGAGAGGTTAATGGCATCTCAGTTGTCCCAGGCTTCTAAAAGAACACTCTGATTTGAACTGAGCCAAGTGATCTGGGAGGTGACATGTTGAATGCAAGACTTGTCAAAAGAGGCAGGGGACCCTAGGACCCAGACACCTTTGCTATTACACTCCAAGTTAGAATCATAATATAATAATAGTCCCATCAGTAGATCAGTGACTATCATGAGGAATGAAGCTATCTTCATAAAAGTGCTCATGATGGTAGCAGAGACACAGCTAACATGCACAAATATGCACCATTATTATTATTATTATTATTATTAATGGTATTCTAGGACTTTAAGCAAAGCATCAGGCTATGATGGACCTCAGCTTCCTTACTGACCTAGTGAAAGAGTTAGTCCAATGTGGAAATTCTGAAATTCTATGAGCTAGAACCCCAATCTCATTAAAAATGTTTGAATTTAAACAAGGATTTTGTTCTTTGAGACTGACCACCAGACTTTGGCAACTAGATGTGCTTAACAACAGACACCAACTCTTGGAGCAAGTATTCAGAGAAAGGATCACTGGGAGAGAAAGAGGGTTCCTTGTAGGGGACAGAAAAAATGGTATGTGAGTCTCTCTCTGCCCTATATAAGGCGCTTTGGAGGTCATAAAATCTTCCTTGTCCCAGGGACATAGAGAGGAGAAGAGGTGGTTAATTTTTATAGATATTTAAAAACTGTTTAGTTTAGTCATCTTCAGTTATCAGATGAAAGAACACATCCTTCCCCTCTAATACAGGAGCAGTTTTCTCCACTTTTGCCCTTTTTTTTTTTTTTTCCTGCAGGAAAGGCAACAATCCTCTGGATATCCAGGACCCTGAATCAGACAGTAGCTGTTACTGAGCTGGCTCTTTCCAGCAATGCCAGTTGCCTGTGCCTTACAGTGTGTCACATATGCCCCCTCTTTTTTTATTTTACAAGATTATTTTGCTTTCTAGTTATCTGTACTTCATTGGTTCATGCAGTTGATTTTGCTCTAGGGAAAAAACTGAATAATTCATAAAGGCCTTGATTTCTCTGTCTTCTACCTGCAGAGCAATTGTTCTTTTCACTCTGAGGAAAAGAAAGTGTCTTCGCCCTTCCCTTGAGAATCTCCAATACACAACTTTTTAATTCTGTTATCTGTTATGCTGCAAAGCATACAAATGCTCATTGCTTTGCATTAAGATGAACACTTCAAGGACAACTGTCAAAAACACATCACACTTTTTGGATGAATGGAGATAAGCTACTTTTGCAAAATATTCTTTTGTCCTGATTCAAAAACACAGTTGATAGC